TCTGTTGCTTAATCTGGGTGGAAATGTACACAAAATGATTAATACTTAATTACGAAAACGGAATCAAAACATCACCACTAGATAATCTTCCGGCTTGCATTAGATCGGATTAAGAAGAAGTCTATCAATAGATTTTAGCGAAGAATACATGTCACGATGGCTTTGGCTTTTGGTCATCCTGTTTATATCATCTGCCACTGCAGAAGATGTCGAATGTTCACAAATTTTCAATTCGTTATATCTTTGAAACATTTTTGGACTGACTTTCCGTCTAGAGTTTCAACTTTCATAATATTGCAGTTTACAAGGAATTCCTCAAATGACGTTCAGAGACTCTAATTGATCTTTTGGCCCAGCGAGCTCCAGTTTTAAATGAAAACTATTCCATTAATTGTCAGCGAGTTACGTGACACAAGTAAAATCTAAGACAGCTCTGGACCCAGGCTAATGTGTACAATAATTCTGAAATTCACTACATTGCTACATGTACATTTTCTGTTCAGATTTTTAGTTTTTACATGTATGTTTTCATATTTTACATAAGTTACATGTACAATGTACCTGATAATATCAATCAATATTCTAACATACATGTATTATCCAAGCTGATTAAAACACAGATCATATTTCGTTTCGTTTTTTTATAGTTCAAAATTTCGTTTTACTTGTCTTTACTACACTAGGATCTGGAAGAGTTGTTATATTACTGGTGTTCTGGTTGAAGTGAGAGATTAGCCAATGGAACAGTCTGTTACAGTGAATTCTTGGCGTGGGATGCACAGAACTGTGGGTAAACCATTAGAAATGTTAACGCTGATTGATTAATCAATGTCTGACGTCACAGGGTCAAAAGCCACTCGCACTAGCCCTGACGCGACCTTTACAACCGGTCAGATCTTTATGTAGTGTAAGCCATCGAAAGTAGGAAAAAACGAAACGCAATATAGATCTGTATTTTAATCACATTGACATATTATCCTCCCTCTCTACTACAGATATTATCTACAACTTTTTTCCACATCCTCTAAACTGTATTTATTTCAAGTGTAGCACAAAATTTGTTTTAAAAAAGCATCACATTTTTTTCCTCCTCATCTAAACTATACTGCAACTGAAGCACATGTATAAGAATTTTCCTGTTTAATAAATACTGAGTAAAATATTTATTTATAATAAGACATGTGTATAACATAATATCTACACATGTATATTATTAATAGCCAATATGGTAAACTATTCTATCTTATATCTAGTTATTATAAAAATCTGACAAATCAATTAAAGATATGGGAGATTAGATAAAGAGCTGGCAGTTCTCACTAAAACTAGATGATGTAAAGGGAATATGCTGAAAATTTCAGAAAACCTTATTTTAAAATCTCTGTAAGATCAATTATCATTGTTAGCGCTGTCATGATAAGAAACAAAGTCTTGATTATCCATTTTAATCATCAACAGACGTTGAGCAGCAGATCGAATTCAAATCCATTGAAAATCGGACAGATAAGATGGCATTGAGAATTGATTATGGTCTTTTCATGTTAATAAATGTCTAATTAATAGTTTATATAACATTTCAGGCCTAAAGAAAGACCTGCAAATGCAATAGGTAGGCAGATTTACCTCTTGCATAATGTATGTTTAAAGAACAGGCATCTAAACATATGGGAAATAAGAGATAAATTTAATATCCACTCGACACAAACCAGGACATTTCAGGACTATCATATGGTATAAATTTATTTCAATAATTCGCTTGTGTGTTGGATTCTTTCAGAGTAAGAGGAAACAAGAGGAGTGCAGGAGGACCAGGAGACGGGAAAAAACTAACGAACTTGGGTAGGACAAAATGTCTGGCAACAGACGGACTGTGTCTTACAAGGACTAGATTTGTGCATGACAATGTTTGTGACAGGTGCCTAGTTTACATGTACAATGTAATAAGACATCACAGCAAGAACAGCTATCTTTGTGTGTATCTTTTCCGCATTTTTGTATTATGGGTTTTGTGTGTGTGGTGCAGTCCTCCTGCACTTACTTTTTATGATCATGTATGGGTATAGAGCAAACAACAAACCATGCAGTGCAGGCTAATTCTACTTTTTTTCTACACATAGTTTTTGTGATAAACTTGATTAAACTGTAATAACTACCATCAGACTGGAACCATAAATATTTGCCGTCAACAGAAAGTAAAAAAAAACTTGGCAAGACATGTAATCTAATCAAACACAGTGAGCCGAGGACCACCAGGTTGATGACCATAACACTACCTTACTACTACAACTTACAAAGGCTACCATTTGGATAGACTCCATTACAGCCTATGATAGGCTTTAGAAAGAATTAACATTGCCTCTTGACATACTTTTATATAAAAATCTGGTCCTGGCTATTATAATAATTATTTTAATGGTGCAGCCTTCTAGTTCTCTAGACACAAATGTTTTGTTTTAGTTTAAACAGCGCTGTCTGTGTCTGGGACATTCTGACAGTGGCCATATATCTCAATTTTGACTATCAACCATATTCAAATTCATGCTATAATATGTGATGTGATGTGATGTGGGAAAAAAGAAACGAAATGGGGTTTACTTTTCTGCAATGTGCTACATGTACAAAGGAAGTTTTTCCCAGACAGCAACATGTACCTAATCTTCATCAAAGTCCAACTGTTATGGGTTCTTTTACACACCTGCCAATGAGTACACCTCGGTTTTTGTCCATCCCGAATGATTAGACCTTTTCCTCACCAAGTTTTCTGTCCTGCACCAGTCCAATGACAATGGAAACCAGAACAGAAAAAAGGTCATGTACTTAATAGACCAGACACTGACAAGGAACATGTATGGTCAGGTGTTTTCATACAAAGTGAATGCATAACATTTTGTGTGCAGTTCATAACTTACAGCATGCAATACCCATTTCACAGTTAAGCTTGGTATCGTACTTTCTTTTTTTTTTTAGCTATAAAATGAGTCATCTCAAAGTAGGCCTATTTACATACGGTACATGTAAATACAGTACTCGGCCAAGGCCTATTATAAATAACAGTAAAAAAGAAAAACAATATGAACACATGTATACATTAAAGTTTTATACATACATGTAGCCTACAACACCAAATCAAAGACTGATATCAATGCTAGTAAGTGCAAGAGAGCTGCACCACACATAAACAGAAACCCAGAACTGCGGCTAAATCTATTTGCTAAGGTCAGCTCAATTTTTGTCAAGGTCACTGAGATGTAAATAAGGTTAGGGCATGTGATTGTTGGCGAGATTGTAGGCTAGGGTTAGGGTAAGCATTGGGGCTCTAGAGGTCCAGAGTTAGGGTTAAGGTTGGGATTAGCACTAGCTCTGTTTACATCTCGTGACCTATGATGAAAAATTGAGCTGACCTTATCATTTAGCACTAACCCAGAACTGCCAGAAGACTAACACTGACAAGATACAAGACACATCACATTCACACACAGACATTGTAAGTAATATAAATAATAAAAGTATTAAAAGTTTTATCAAATCAAGTGATTGGAAACCACTCTAATAGCAGAGTAATTCATAAAAGGCAAATAACTAAAAGATAGGTTGCCAGGCAATGAAACATACGCCCTCAGCAGCTAAGTCATCCGGGCAGTCAACAAGGGTTGTCATGCATTTTTTCCTTTTATCACCGGTAATGAGAATATTTACAACGTATGAAAATATAGAGGAATGGTGTATTTACCTTTTCTCAAAATTCCAGATCAAAATATTGAGTCGTTTGGACGTGAACTTCAAAACTGCTTATCGGAGCACGTAACCCTTTAAAGATTTCAGGTCAGTTTTTTCGTTGGGTGACCTGATAATCGATTCCTGTTCCTTGAGAGGTCTATATAGTGAATGACCCGTGTGCTCTACTTGATAACGAAAGGTAAACTTCACCTACACATTATTTTTATAAAATAAAAGTCTGGTTTTATCCAGACACCGCATAATACAGCTTGGGACACCGGTCTCCATTTCCAGATGAAGACTGACAGGTTTAAGTTGTTTGAAAACTTATCACAAATATTGAGTTAGTTGCTCGGCCCTCTAGCCTCTAGAGTGTCCACAAGATTTTTCAATGTAATCAAGGGCTATAACTCAGGCAGTAATTACCAGAAAATAGTTGTAAATCAAGAGGCCTCTTTGTCTCATGACCTTAAACAGCGTGTATAAATTTTAAAGTCAATCGGATATTAACTTTTCACTCCAGAGTGTCCACAAGATATTTCAAAGTGATCAAGAGTCATCACTCTTGCAGTAATAATCGGATATCGTTAAAAATCTATAGGATTCTTCATCCCATGACCTTAAACACTGCGTATAAATTTAAAGTCAATCGGATATTAACTATTAACTTTTCACTCAAAAGCATCCACAAGATACAATGTATTTCAATATACGGTCAAATTTTAATGTGGGCGTATAAAAAATGAAACAATCGAATCGATCAATTCTTTGTATAATTATCCATGACTAACAAAGGGGAAACTAGATAGATAATAGATGGGCTTTCATTTGAGACCCCTACACATGTAACTAAATCAAACCAGGTATCAACCACGAAACCAGTACATCCCATTACAAGTTGCTTCTTATGTAGGGACCGAAATACCAAATGCAATGGGGTTTAACGTCCTACTGTTCTGCTCCAAATGGGCTAATGAAGGCAGGGCTTGAAACACCTCTGAGTCACTTATAAAAATTTATCAATTTGAACAATTAATTTGGCTTCAAGTTAAATGCTATGCGAACACCTACAGTGCACTTTTCATATCCTGATCCACTCCAGGTGCATCACGTCGAATATGAATGGGGTTACAACTGGTTCCAGCGCTACTGCACACCCAACCCCAGGACAGGAGCACAGACAGCTTGCAGAGAGACTCCAGTCCAGGATGATATGGGATAAGGTTTACAAAACTTTTTATTGAACTCAAGCGACTGTTAGACGTTGGAATACATGTACTTACCATATTCTACAAAATCCGAGATATTTTTCTCTCTTCTAAGAGTAGGATTTGAACATTCATCATAAATAACAATAAGTACATCCAATAATGTTTCTATACTCAATGCATTGCCATCACTATTCGTTACACCTCCAAGATAAAGACGTTCTAATTTCTTCAGTCTTTCCTCGGCCGACATGGCCACAAAAATAATGAATGGGCTTTAGAAAACCACTTTCACTTTAGAATGTGAACTGCTATATCCGGATAAATATCATTCCATCAATCGGAGAACGAACACCATGGCATTCGGTAATTTTACAACAATGACACACGATTTGGAATTAATGAACTAGCCAAGCCTGCACTTGAACTACTCGTTCTTTTCTGACATCTTTCTTTCGATTCAGCTTGCTGATTCACTATCCATCTTATTTCTTTTATCACAGGCTTCCTTATATTTTACCCCTAAAATGAATAAATGGTACCGCGCTTTAGCTACCTAAAGGGTTTCTTCTATGTCCACATATTGGTTATTTTGAGGTGAATTATTACTTTTATGGCATTGATATCACAAATTCCGTATAAATCGCGATTACAAATGGCGGCTGTGATTTTATAGTCTTGCTTTACCAGTCCCTTTGTGGCTATGTAAAATAACCTGCGATTCTTGTGCAATCAAGACTAGGAAGACGTGTTTTCGGTCTACCAGTCACAACCTTCGACCCACTCTTCTCCTCCAAAAAACCCACAAAATTAAGTTTAATTGTGATTACAGCCCATTTCGTAAATGTGCAATTAAGCATTTAAGTCTGATTGGTAATTAAAGAAACCATTTAAAGAGATTATAGCATAAAAAGGAGTTGAAAATTTAATTAAGGGATTTAATATTTTTCGTCATGGCTAGGCAATTACCGAAATTGTTTTCTCTTCTGTAATTGCTCAAGTTAACTTATTAGATTTCTTGAAGAGCACGGGTATTTTTTATTATTTTATTTTTTTTACCCAAGCTAAGTTAAATCACAATTCACAGATTGCAAACAAAACATACCATCACATATTTTAAAAATGATTAGGGGGTAGTGTGTCTCCTGTCCAAGAATATATTTCTCGTCTTCAAACTCAGTCTAGAAATAACAGATAATTAAATGTAAAAAATATATAATCCAAAGCCATTTCTAGAAATATATCGGGTGGGGGTGGGGGCAGGTAAATGAAATAATAGTTTTGAAATAAATCATCATTGAAATAGTTTGAAAACAGTTTTTAATGGATCAGAGTTATTCCAAACCCATAAAAATTTGTTAATGGTATTAAATATGGTGTGAATGAATTGTTCCGTTTCCAGTGGGATCCATTTCATGGGTTTCCATTTCTGTGTCTAAGAATCCAAGTCTACCACGGCCCTGGGATGCCCGATGACGTCATGTAAATATTATGCTAAATCGGCCAGAACGTTACAAGACAGCATTCCTTTCGCTATGGTTGTAATAAATGCGAATACAACGATAATCCGTGCATTCAGCTCACAACACCGGTTAATATGGGGATTTTTCTTCTATTAAATACCTTTGATTCTTTTATTAATGTGTTTAAAGTTTTATTTTGTTTTCCTGTCATTATTTCTTTCGTTAAGTTTTCCTTGTATTTCAAGGGAAATTACTCCACTTTATAAGCGCGTTTTACTGACAAGTTTCTAATTCAAACCTTTTTAAAAAAAAAAAAAAAAAAAAGAAACTGAATACTTTTGTATATTATTTTTGTATTATTTATTTTTCAAAAGAAAAAGGGCGTTTCGTTAAATTTGTTAATATTTTGTCAATATTGGTCGGTCATGTTTTGCTATTGGACGCTATAATTCACGGCAAATAGACATATAAATCACATTTGCCAACTGTGCAATAAATGTGAATTCCCAACATTCGCCCTGAACTGAGCGGTAAATATAATGATAAACCACATTAGTTTCCTGTAGATTGCTCGGATATTCTTCCGCATCTCACAATAAATACACACTTCACCGCCTTAGTCTACTGTGTATTAACAGCATCTTCTCCCATATCTCACAAAAAATACACATATTGACCACCCTCGCTAGTTTTGTGCTACTAGTTTATGCCTCATCTATAAACTGGTTAAATACACATCCAAAGCACATACTGTGTATTTCAATTGTGTTGTTTTAAAAACCCACAACAGGAAGACCAATAACCCACATTAGTTTACTGTGTGTTAACAGCATATTCTCCCATATCTCACAGCAAATACACATATTGACCACCCCAACTAATTGTGTACTAATAGTTTATGCCTCATGTATATACTGGGTAATTTCACATCCCAACCACATACTCAATGTGTATTCCAGTGTGTATTTTTCTTTTAATAAACCACATTAGTTTATTGTGTATTTCATGTGTATTTTCTAATAACTCATACACATTAGTTTACTGTGTAGTACAAGTGTATACATCTTCTATTAACTCATTATAAAAATACTAATAAACCACATTAGTTTATTGTGTATTTCATGTGTATTTTCTAATAACTCATACACATTAGTTTACTGTGTAGTACAAGTGTATACATCTTCTAATAACTCATTATAAAAATACTAATAAACCACATTAGTTTATTGTGTATTTCATGTGTATTTTCTAATAACTCATACACATTAGTTTACTGTGTAGTACAAGTGTATACATCTTCTAATAACTCATTATGAAAATACTAATAAACCACATTAGTTAACCGTGTTTTACAAGTGTATTTTCTAATAACTCACATGATATAAAACACAAATTTAATATGGAAAACAATCACTGGGTTTATTTCACACTACGTTTCAACAAGTTCCTCTTGTCGTTCTCAAGTAAAGCCTGGCGCACACTATGCGACAACTTAAGCGACGAGTCTGGCGACAAATATCGCCTCAATATAAGTGGATTGAGCACACTACACGACGACTTTGGCGATCACGGAAAAAACACCCTGTCATGTGCTTCATCATGTGACACCTGTAAATTCATTTTAGTCGTCATCGCGTTGAATACTTCAATTAATATTGTTTTGTACATGATGATCAGGAGGCGACGTAGCCGTCTTAGTACCATGCCTGTCGAGTGCAGTGCGTTTATAGTATTATAAGTAACTAGCTCAAATTGGGCGACTCTTGCCTGTATAGAAAAACAAGCTACGTTGAGGATGAGTCCAGAAATATTCCAGACAATCCTAAATATAATCAATCCTCTCATTGCCAAACAACCAACCAAGATGAGACAATCAATAAGCCCAGGTGGGCAATCGACGGTCACTCTCCGTTTTCTCGCTACAGGTACTGGAAAAATAACGCCCATTCTAATTACCATATCCATGAATCCTAGGACTATATTATTATTGAGTACATTGCTATATAGATGGAACAATCCACTCTGCCTACCACATGTATTCGACACCTTTGCCAGAATTCTAAACTTAATTTCAATTAGTTAGTTAGGGCTAAATTAGATTACCCGAGTCACTTAATATTATACATGCAACAGAAAAAAATTCTGAGAAATCTCGTGTGTGGTTATGTCACATTGTTTTAAAGTATTAGAAAAATAAATAACTTATATTTATAGCACGACTTTCATGAGTTTACAGGTTTAACAAGAGGCTGCAGGCAGAGGCGTTAAACCTGTTAATGAATGAAATGTGTTATAAATGACTTGTAACATTGACACCTGCTCAACATGCTCATTGTTATTGCACAGAAAACCGACACAAATTAGGTCATTTCGGGACTAACATATAGTTCAATTTTTTATTTCAATAATTTGCGCGTAGGGTTCTTTAGCAGTGGGAGGAAACCGGAGGACCTGCAGAAAACCCACGAGGTTGGACAGGCAACCCTACTCTTTGTCACATACAACCAGGGAATCAAAACCACGCCAGTTGACTCAATGACACACCTTATGATACATACGGCCATCCACCCCACCCCCTTCCCCTGAACTTATAAAGGTCAGTCATCTAATACAGAGGTATAAGAAGGCTTTCACAGTAGCTCTGTGGAACAGATTGTAATTGTAGGTTGTCATGTGTTAGCAATGTTCCTTAAAGATGGGTTCCCGCGTATAAACTGGGTGATTTAATGGTATATATGGACCAAAAACATATTCAAACTAATTAATTTGTCATAATTATGCCCCAAATCCTTCTCAAACATTGTAATTGCGAAAGAATGCCCTGCTATTAAAATTCGATCAAACTAGGTCATGTTTACGTCAGGTCTTGGGAGTCAGAGGAGAATTCATTGCATACATAAGATGATGTTGTCTTTAATCGCTTACTATTTATTACAAATATCGAATCCTAATTAAATTCTCAGATTATCCACTACCCAGGTCTTTTTCCGTCATTTTTATCTCAGAAAGTATTGTACGTCTAACTCTTCATAAAGTTTATCAACTTGTACATCAAGCGCTCAATGTTCGCTTGTGACCTTTGACATCACGCGTGCAGAAGTTCCTAATCGTCGGGCTGTTGATTAGGGGAACCCTTACATTTTTGTCCTGTATACGCTCCATGAGTGTTTTTCGGGGAATCCAGTTTTTTTCTAGTAAGATTGGATATCTCTACTTTCGATATATACCAAAATTGCCATACTTTTATTGGAAATAACCACCCGATAAATACTTTTCTGGGAACCCATCTTTAAAATGGAAAAATAAAACTAATCAACAACTTATTAAAAAAAAACTTTAATTTAAATATAAATATCAGGGTATTTCTTCTGGTTCTTTGTTCTGTCTTTCTTGAGAAGATATCCACCGTGACAGCAACATCTCCTGATAGAAAGTTAAATATAAAATGAAAACAACAATACAAGTCTATCAGGGGCGGATCTAGGAATTTTTGCAGGAGGGTATTTGTCAGTTGACAATGCATGATGCCATCATCGTCTCTAAATTACGTAGGTATATACATACACTGAGCTTTTTAAAGAGAGAAATCCAACATGTCAATTTTTATAATGAATTAAAAGGATCACATTGTGATTCAATTTCATTGATGCAAAGCATTAACTGTTATATCACACATGTCTATATCATTATTTCATGCTTCGAATGCTAATCAGATTCCACCATCTGATGATAAAGGATAAAGCACAAAACCGTTACACTTTTGTCATAAAGTGTTGTTTTACAATTTTTTCTTATATAGCGGAGCAGGGTGGGGTTTAGACCCCCCCCGCCCCCCCAGAGAATCTCCTACACATCTTTTTTGTAATCAAACAAATCAACACTGAGGCTGATGTGATCTGCAGAAATCCCAAAATAAACAGATGACATATAGTAATTAATTGTACATTTATCTTTTTCAAAAGTATCAAGTAATCAAGGAGAGTTATTGCATTCCAAAGTCTCGACCAATCAAATTGTTTATCATTCTGCTTACCCTGAGCAGAAATTGCTCATTATCAATCTTAGTCAAGGTATTGATGTAATGAAACTATACAACAAATTTCATCACTCTCACTTAATTTGGGAGCCACGGTGGCTAAATGGGCAAGACGCTGGCTCGCTAGCCTGGAGGTCGCATGTTCGATCCCTGCATTGGCGGAAAAAATTCATCAGGATTTTCAATATAAGTACTTAGTTGGGATGTTAAACCCATTTCATTTCATTTTCTCATTTAATTATAACTACAGTTAACATGTCTTGAAGCATCATCCAATCAAATTGCTTATCCTAAGCAGAAAATGTTCATCTTTAAACTCCATCAAGACATTCGTCTAATAAATGCCTACACCAAATTTTAACATTCTAGCTCAATCAGAAGGAAAGTTATTATGTCCCAAAACATGTGACAGATGGACGAATTGGCGGACGGATTGACGGACCCATTTTAATAGTCCCCTGATTTCTTTGAAAGTGGAGAACGACGAGTGTTGATATTTTTTAATATCAAAAACGACGAGTAGATTTTATTTATCACTCAACCTTTTCTTACATGCACAAAAAAATAAATATAATCATTTGGGTATGTATCAAATTCATGTAAAGTGATATCTACAGTAAAATTTGAAAGTTATCGAGCTTAAAGATACATTATGGGAGATTAGATAACGAGTTGGCAGCTCTCATTATAATAGTTAAAAACTAGATCATGTAAAGGCAATTTGCTGAAAATTTCAGTCAAATTGATCCACTATGAACTGAGAAATAAGCGATCAAAAGTTCCGTATAGCCTCGGTCATCAGTACTAAAGTCGGTACAACAAAAATCATAGTCTCGATTATCCATTTAATCGTTAAATCGAGAAGGCAAGTTATGCAGCAAATCGGATCATAATCCAACAAATATCGCAGGCTAGCGTTGACATTGACATTTTGATTATGGTCTGGATAAGTTAATTAATGTCTAATTAATAATTTATATAACATTTCAGGCCTAAAGAAAGACCTGCAATAGGCAGATATAGCTCTTGCATAATGTATGTTTAATGGTAACAAATCTCTGTAGATATTTAATATCATTATCAAAGATGATTTACAGACCGACATACAATGTATGGACATTATTATTTCCATTTTGATGGTTAATTATCCAATGCAAGGGAGACAAATTTTGCCCGTAAAGTGGCGTGTCTACCCAATCCTTCTCTTTTTTCACTTGTAATATCCACATATGTGGACTTGCATTTTTACCCATAGGAATAACTAAGCCCTCTTTCCTAGTCAGGCCTGCAGGTGCCACCATTGACAAGTGAAGACCAGGCTTGACAAGCCGAGAGTGGAAACTGGATAGCCAAACCCAGAAAAAATGCAATCCATTTCACTGTCTGACACGTATACAATCATAGTACTGAAGTCAAACTTTCAGTCTGTGCAACACTTTATGCTAGATTCCCACTATCACGATTCGCGTTACGATTGAAATCGTGGTTTTAATCGTGGGATCCTAGCAGGTCTTATCATATATTGAGGTCCGCCGTAGCAATTGTGTTGATCATATAGAACCGTAACCGAACGTATCTGCACGTACCAGATCATGGATTCAGTAGGGTCAATCTTATCATAATGCATCGCATGACAGTTGGAACCTAGCATTAAACTGTGTGCTCACCTAACCCATCTAGTACTGTTAAAGATCACCTACCTTAACTTTAAAATATGGAATGCATGAAGGTGACAGCAATTCTTTATCAGTTAAATTCTTGGGTTTTACAACATAACAAATCATTACTTCCTGAAAAATCAAAGGACAGAAAAGAGTGAAAAAATGAACAATGTTTACAGAAATGAGTAATGTGTACGGAAATGAGTACGGTAATGGGTATACGAAAATGAGTAATGGGTAAACAAGAATAACAATCTGTACAAGAGAATGCGAATGCCGCATTGTTAAGAGAGAATGAGTAAACTAATTAGCAATGAGTTTAAGAGAATTAGCAATGAGTATAAGAGAATGAGTGATGGGTACAAGAGAATGAATGATGGGTACAAGAGAATAAGTGAAGGGTACAAGAGAATGTGCAATGACTACAAGAATAAGTAATGGAAACAAGACAATGAGCAATGGCTACAAGAATTAGCAATGGGTACAAGACAATGAGCAATGGCTACAAGAATTAGCGATGGGTACACAACAATGAGCAATGGCTACCAGAATTAGCAATGGGTACAATATAATGGGCAATTGGTACGAGAGAATGAGCAATGGGCATGAACGAATGGATAATTGGTACAACAGAATGGGATAAAATAATGAACATTGGGTACAAGAATGAGAGAATGAGCAAACAAGCTTACTTTTGCAACATGCTCTGTAATACGATTTAGACCACACAACGATCTCCATGATAAACAAAGCTGTTGATATTCAAGCACTGGAGTAACGCCATCTTCTTCTATGTACTGGATAACAACTGAATAACTTCCGTGATAAAATGGTGGACCAACTTTATACAAAACTGAAATTATGAAGGAAAGATGTTTAATATTTCGTCCACAGAATATTTCATTTCAAGACTAAGCCATCATATTTTTTATAGTGATATGTGTGCAATTTAAGAGTTAGAACTTTTGCGAAACAGAAGATATTGCCTAGCAATGATAAACAACTCTCTGTTAAACCATCTCGCCTTCCATTTAATAAAAGAACTGAAATTACTAAGGAAAGGCGTTCAACATTTCGTCCACACATTTCATTCTGAGACTAACCCATGATATTTTTTATAGTTATATGTGTGCAATTTAAGAGGTAGAACTTTTACGAAACAGAAGATGTTGCCTAGCAACGATAAACAACTCTTGCCTTCCATTTAATAAAAGAGGTGCTGGATTGTCAATCCAGAACATTCCAGATTGAATAGACTACAATTGGGTTTCATAGTCCTGCCAGCCCCCAAAAGAGATTTTGAGTTAGTGGAATCATGACCTAATGAAATGTTTCAGCGTTGGTGATAGCTTGCGATAGTATCATACTCAGTTAGCGTATGCCTTGTCACTCCAAGTTCTGGTATATTCTTGATTGAAATGAAGTGAAATGGGGTTTACCATCCTACAATTCTGCATTTCTTGATTGCCACCATGAGAGAATTAAATTCTGTAATGTTCAATCCAGTATCCCCTAAGAGTGCGGTACTGTGGAATGGAGGAGACAATATTAAACTTTCGAACAGTGACAGCTAATTAAGACGCAAAATTTGTTACCTAGTTCCAGGATGCCAATACATAAAACATTTACTCTAATAAATATATTAGTAAGACTGTGTTAAAACTAAAGTAGTTTAATCCAAAATATTTTTCAGACGACACCTCATAATCTGATTGTAATGGTTTAATTTGTCACAGTCAGACTCAGAAGTCAAATGATCAGTGAAATTTCATGGACAGTTGCATGTAATCAAATAGCTGATGTCTAGACCAAAGGTGGTGCATCTCCCGAGACGCCTCTGTTATATTTGAACAGAGGTTATCGGTAGAATATAACTTAAATGAAATGAGGTTTAACGCCCTACTGTTCTGCTCCAACTGGATTGAAGAAGATGGATATATGCCATGCAGGATACCATGAGTAAGGCTGGGAATCGATATGAAATTTCAATATCGATTATCGGCAAGAATTTGTCAGCGATTATCGATAATAATCGATTATCAATCATTCTTCCGGAAAAACTGAACTTTACCGACCTGTTATTTGTGTTGATCGAGTTACAGTAGTGTTATTATCCTAGTCTAATACTGTGCCGATGTACGTAAAAAAATCAATTTAGTTGCTAAATGTAGGATTAACTTGAGTATTATTCTAAGTTTTGTTCTTGATTCATTTGAACCTTTTTTTATTCCAATATCTCCGATAAATACAAAGACAATACATGGTTTCTCTTTGCAAGTTACTGGCGATCACACAGTGTTACTAATAATAGAATAAAATATAATAGAAGGCGTCTATTGATTGGTCAATAAAAAAATAATTACCGGCTTTCAAAGTAGAATTTTTATGATTGGTTAATTTTGACGAAAACCAAAGTAGAATTCTTCCAAGAAATTACGAGAGATATAGATATTTTCCCGGGAAGTCAAAAACGTGTTTTGTATGGGCTGTATCTGACATGATTTAGTAATAAAAGCTGAGTTGATCATTAATAATACAATTAGTTTTATCGTGAAAGCAGACAATTTCTCTACAAATCAATCAAGAGCAAAGAAGGGAGATAATTCTAATTTTCCTATATCACGTGCGATCGTCATTGTTCACAAAGTGCGTGACCTATTTTAGTTTCAACTAGTAATAACAAAACAACGAAAATATTAAAATAATGTATTTAATCTTAAAGTTTAGTTTTTTTACAATAATATATATTTAAAATGTGCCAGTTTGTAAGTAGAGGGGGAAAATAGTTGTTGTGTTGACGTTGTGTATTCGTTCATTCGTCTGCATGCCAGACTACGGCAAGTTCAGTCATTTGAAAGTGACCGTAACTTGCCGTCAGAAGGTAAATATACCGATAATCGATATTTGAATTTCAATATCGATTATCGTATCGCTAAATAACTTCTACCGATTATCGATTATATCGATATTTTCGCACAGCCTTAACCATGAGGGAAATTTTGCATGGACAGCACTGCTACAGCCTACTCTTATTTCAAATTCCAACTGTCAAGGGTTCTTTCATGTGCACCCCAATGTATACACGGGACCTAAGTTTTTTATTCCATACGAACAACTACGCATTATTCCTTGTCATGCCCTTCATCCTACATCACTGACAAGGGGAAACCACGCTGGAAAATGCTGAAGAAATTTCTCGGCCAATGCAGTGTTCGAACACGGGACCACCCAGTTAGCGAGCCAACGTCCTACTCACTGAGCCACTGTGGCTCCCCTGTAGTATATAATATGATGTATTAATGTCCTTTAAATAAACTTACTATAATCACAGCCAAATTTAAGTCCAGATTTAGGCACCCAGCCTTTACTTCTAAAGTAATGGTATGTAACATAACTTGCAATAAAATTTCTCTGTTTTTCACAAAATATCTTCCACATAGACATAATATTTAAGGAATTCTGTAATAAATAATATAAGGTCTTTTAAGCTTCGATATTTAAAACTGGGCCTAATGACATATGAAAGGCATTATCTAATCCACCTTACATCTTAGCCATCCCATTATAGAGAGAGAGAGAGAGATGGGGACTAACACATGGTTCAATTTTATTTCAATAATTCGCTTGCGTGTAGGGGTCTCTTTAGCAGCGGCAGGAAACCAGAGGACCAGGAGAAAACTCACAAAGTTGGACAGCCGACCCTACTCCTTGTCACATACAACCGGGGAATCGAAGCCCCGTCGGTTGACTCAATGATAGAGCGGGTACATGCTAACCATTCAGCCATCCACCCCCATGATTATCTAGAGAGTTAAACATGTGAATAAATGTCTAAATATATGAAGCCAGAAAAACTCCAGGCAAAAGGTAAATTTAACTCTTTAAAGGAGAAGTAAAACGTTTGCTCGCTAACCTGGATGTCCAGTGTTTGATCCCTGGGTTAGCAGAGGAAGTTAATCAGGATTTTCTGGCGTGGGTTCCCCTTGTCAGTGGTGCAGGATGGAGGGCCTGGCAAGGGGAAATCATTTATTCATTAGGATGGGACAAAAACCAAAGCCACAGTTACACATTGGCGTGCACGTAAAAGAACCCTTAGCAGTTGGAATTTGATATAAAAGTAGCCCATAGTGCCGCTGTCCGGGGAAAATTTCCCTCAAACCACACTATATGGCATATGTCCGCCTTCATTAGCCCAGTCAGAGCAGAACAGTAGGACGTTAAACTACATTTCATTTTATTTCATGTTTAAAGGAGAAGTGGGCAGGCATTGCAGTAAAATTACAATAGGCGGCTTTAAAGATACATATATACAAACCTCTTTTTCTTTAAGAATGAAACAGCCTAAACCATATGACAGGAAAAAAGCCTGAAAAACAAATACATTACTAATAGTAACAACTCCCTGTAAAACTCTGGTGAATAAAGGTTGTACATGTATGTACCATTCATAGGCAAAATATAACAGCAGTGGCTACAGTCCTAATACAGGTAAAAGTACAGAGAAAAAAGACATACTCATTGCAACCTGGTTTTCTTTCTCACAAATCTTTCAGTATTCATCATAGAAAAAATATATATACAGAAATTGAAATGGATATAATCAGTAAGAAGCCGAACTTGAATGAGAAATTTTACAGAATTTATCAACGTTAGTATGATCTGTTATTTTGGACAAGTGAATCTTTTATTTTACATGAGAGAGCAAAAAAACCACTCAAAAGATGTGAGTGTTGGGTAAAATCTTTTGATGGGCTCCATTTTATTCTGATTAAATCCATGCTGTGAGATTATCTAGCTTGATATTTTGATTTTGTTTTCTTAATTAAATATTAAATAATCAACATGAGTATATTTTAGAGTGGATTAAGTCGTGAAAAATTAAGATATATATTCCAAAAAATGCAAAACTGACAGTAAATAATCTTGTTGTTCATATTTCATCTATAAAAATAATGTATCAGACCGCAGAGGTGGGAACCAGTCGCGGGACCTCTAGTGTCTAGTCCCAAGTTGAGACCCAAGTCGCTGACTTTAGTACCAGTCTTCAAAAGCCTGAATCCTGTTCAAGTTGCCAGTTCATCAAATGAGTTAGCAATTCATGGCGATCAAGTCGCAAGTTGGTTCATCGATGCGACTTAAGTCAGGCTCAAGTCCGAGCAGCGGGACTCGAGTTCCTGCTTCTGTCAGGCGGCACAGATCCTCTTGTCACCCTCTTCAATTATACATTTATACGGTATTATGTTGCATAATCAAATATCAATTATCAATTTTTTTTTATGAAATGATTGAAATTTTGGATATATTATGTAGAACATGCATTATAAATTGTCCTATTTCCTTTGTAAATTACTTGCAATAAAATATGTTTACTGTACTGTAAGTAACTTTTAGATTTTGGTGACACCCACTCTACCCCTTGCTCCCCGAAATAACCACTGCTAGTAAAGAATATCAAATAATCAAAAATGAATCATACCTCGACTAAGCTTAGCTGTAAATACTCTTTAATTGGGAATGGGTTTTGTTTTAAAACAGGTCTCCATTTTAACTTCTGTTTAATAGATTTTACTAATTTATCGTAATTGTCGTTAGGTATAACGAATAAATCCCCATGTTTATCATCCCCGTGACATAAGAGATCATAAGATGAAAGATCGATTGTTTCTACTTTGTCAACCTTTTCTAAATCTTTGTCAACTTTATCAATTTGATCACAATCACTATTTTCTGTTAAAGATTCACAATTGTCTGCTATTACTGGAATTGTCTTCTGTTTATCATCCGTTTCAGGTATTTGTTTATCCTCCGTTTCTATTTTCGCCCTCTTACTATTTGTTGAACACGTTTCAGCTGACCGCTTTAAACTCTCAGAATTATATTTTTCTTGATTTGCAACCAAAACATCAGATTGTTCTTGATTCAAATCAGTTTTTTCTTGATTTAATGTTACAGGATTTGCTTGATCCACTATCAGAGAATCTTTATCATTATCCATATCACAAGTTGGCTTTTTCCAACTACAGGAGTCTGATTTAACATTATCTATACCCGTACCCCAAAAATCAGCATCTCCCTCCGCAGTATCCCACGATGCTGCAGCACCACTATCCCACGGATCAGTGCTTTTGTAGGAATCTGATTGGTTAGTTTCAACGCCCCAGAATTCATTATCAGGTTCTCCAGCCCAAGAATCTTCAATTTTAATTTCATCTGATTCTTTACCATTCGATTGACCATTTTCATCTGTTGTCATGTCGTCACTAATTTCTTTTTTATTTGAATCACCTTTGTCCATATTAGAATTTGTGTTTAAATTTTCTTCTTCTCCCTCAGAGATTTCATCTTCTTGCAATTCTTGTCCTCCCCACTGTAAGTGTCTCTTGTACCTGTGAAGAGGAAAGAACAAATTCTATCCTATAATTTATCATGGTTTACAGAGCGATAGTGGGAGCAAATTTAAATATTATGGTTTTTTTTTTTTCAATTAACGGCCCAAATAGTTGGAAGTTCGTAAAGTAGATAATAAGGGAAAAGAAAGCCACGGAACAAGGAGATCCTTAATAACTGTAAAAAGCCTTTTTAGGACATTCTGTAACAAGTCGCAGTGCATGTGCGTTAAGTGGTTTATTGTGGTCTGAATCCATCTGCTTAAATAACACTAAGAGTTATGCCCCTTCATTTTCAGTCAAATGTCAGACATGAAAGATTTTGATATCCCAACACTGACATTAACCATTTGCCTCACATGCATATTCATATTTGAAATGGATTGGAGGGTGGGGGCTAAAAACCGAGATCACATGTTTACCATTGGCAGCCCATTCAAAATCCCTTGACCGGATGGAAATTGATGAGACCAGCCTATGGCACTGCAGTCAGGGCAAAATTTATCTCATAGCACACTGCATGGAGTATTCCTGTCTTCATTAGCCCAGTTGGCGCAGAAAAAAGTAGGAGAGAGAGAAATGGGGTTCAACGTCCACTCAACACAAACTAGTTCATTTCGGGACTAACATGGTTTAATATTATTTCAATAATTCACTTGTGCGTAGGGGTCTTTAGCAGTGGGAGGAAACCGGAGGACCCGGAGAAAAACCACGAGGTTGTGCACGCGACCCTGTTCTTTGTCACGTACAACCAGGGATTCGAAACCACGCCAGTTGACTCAATGACAGGCCTTATGATACAGCGCGCCTGTGCTAACAATTCGACAATCCAACCCACCCCCATTTCCTTTCTCATATCAGGGAGCCACGGTGGCTGGGTGGTTAAGACACTGGCTCGCTAGCCTGGACGTCGGGTGTTCGATCCCTGCATTGGCCAAGAAAGTTCATCCAGATTTTCCGACATGGTTTCCCCTTGTCAGTGGTGCAGAACGGAGGGCCTGACAAGGACAGCTGTCTAGTCCTTCGGATGAGACGGAAAACCGAGGTCCCATGTATACATTAGAATGCACGTAAAAGATCCCTTGGCAGCTGGAATTCGATATAAGAGTAGGCGATAGTGCCGCTGCCCGGGCAAAATTTCCCTCATAGCACACTGTATGACGTATGGCCGTCTTCATTAGCCCAGTATAGGAGCAGAACAGTAGGACATTAAACCCTATTTCATTTCATTTCATTTCTTTCTCATATCTGTAACATACCATTGTTTATTTACTACTCGGGGGTAAATTGTGCTTCTGTCTCCATTCAGTGATGTAATAGCTGCCCATTTATATTTATCATTATAGTCTGGTCGACTCCTAGATAAATTACCTTTACCAAAAAATCCCTGAAAATACAGAAAAGAGGATCTTGCAGACACCACAATTTTGTTTAAAATACCTAAATCTGGGTATTAACAGAAATAGTCTAAACACCTAATGCTTATGGGGGGTTTGATGGCCGAATGGTAAGCATGTGCGCGCTGTATCATAAAGTCTGTCATTGAGTCAACTCACATAGTTTCGATTCCACGGTTGTACATGGTAAGGAGCAGGGTCACCTTTCAAACATTGTGGCTTTGCTCTGGGTCCTCCGGTTTTCTCCCACAGCTAAAGACCCCTATGCGAAAGCAAATTGTTAAAATAAAATTGAACCAGGTGTTAGTCCCGAAATCAACTAGATTGTGTATGCTTTATTTCTTACCATTTTATACAAAAACTCCATATCCCCAGTATGTCTAACTGTGACTGACTGACCACATAAATAACCAGTATAATATAACCAATGTTGTTTACTTGCTGTCTCACCTGTTAAATAAACAAAACAACAAATTATTTAACTTTCTTGCAAATATATCACAGAAAAATATTCAGGTCTGGAAACAACGATTTTAGTTGTACCTGATAAAATTGATGTGGTAGAATATCTCATGTTATAAATGTGCTTTTAAAATGACTTGTGAAGATACTCAGCAGATATGTTTTTTTAAAAAAAAACCTATTTTCGCCCCTGTTAGTACTTGATGAGATCAGAATACAATTCTGGCTCATTAACTAGGAGGTCCCAGGTTTGATCCTCATGTTGGCTGAGAATTTGTGAAAAAAAATGTGTTTCATAGCATACTGCCTGGAGTATTAACGTCTTGTTGGGGCATAGAATTAGGTGCTATATACCCTGTTCTATTTCATTTGACAATTCTGTTCTATCTTAATTCTAAAACTTTGTCAAAATTTTCACAACAAGAAATGAGGTTTATACTAGGAACTACCTACACATTTGTTACTGTACTTGATTGAAAACATTCCAAAAACATCGCCTAAATAAATCAGTAGTTATCCTTATAAGTATGTGTTATAGTTTATTGCTCTATCTAGTTACTAAATGCCTCTAAAATATCAACTACGGTACCTACCAGTTATAGTTTTTATTGGAACAGGAAAAGGTGCTTGAATTTTTTGTCTCACTCTTTTTTTTCTACGAGGTGCAGTGAGAGACATTTTACAATTTAATCTGTAATAAAAACATACAAATGTAAATTAATAAGGTTTGTCTATTATGGGGGGTTGGATGGCCGAATGGTTAGCACGTGCGTGCTTAGCTACGAGAACGTAGCTAAAAACGTTGAGATATACTGATGTGTTTGTTTTTAGCTACGATTGGCAGCCTTCAGTTTGACGTGGCAAACTCATTTAGTACACGCCCTTTTTACCATATCCTGAGGTCTGCAATTTATTATCAGGTCCAAAATTGCCTTTTTGATTGGCTGTTATAAAAGCCTAATTTAGCCCCGCCTTCAAAATGACATATTATACGGTCTATATGCTGTTTAAAAAGATGGCGGTCTTAGTAACGGCTTAACGCCTCGATTTTAAATACGACGATTTGTACCCGTTTCGGGTAGGATTATATGCTTAATTGTAGTTGGGTGTTGTAGAAATATTATAAATAACAATAATCAATCGTTGTTTTGACTAAAACTATTGTCAATTTTGTTTAAAAATGCCGGGTGTGAATCGCTCCCGGAGTTGCAACGTTATAGGTCATGGCCTCAGTTCTTAACTCGAAACCCGGAGGGTTGAGAGATTAAGGTTTGTTATCTAGTGCGTGCTGTATCATAAGGACTGTCATTGAGTCAACTGGCGTGGTTTCGAATCCCCGGTTGTACGTGACAAGGAGTAGGGTCGCCTGTCCAACCTCGTGGGTTTTCTCCGGGTCCTCCGGTTTCCTCCCATTGCAAAAGACCCCTACGCGCAAGCGAATTATTGAAATAAAATTAAACCATATTTTAGTCTCGAAATGACCTAGTTTGTGTCGAGTGGACATTAAACCCCATTTCTCTCTCTTGTCTATTAATTAAATCAGCTCATACAGTTAGTTGAGGTAGGAATATGGCCTCCAAAAAATTAACAGATTCCAAAATCTGCACCCAAACCCCGAAGATCCATATTTTTATCCCATGCCAGTACTCAAAGTAGTGTAGGCGTCAGTAAGTGGTAAATTCAATCCTATAAAAGGGAATCCCCTGTTACCGACATTCGTTCGATCTTCGAGTTTTGCGTCCACTTCCAACAAGGTTGCTATCGTAGACAATTAAGGTTACCGACAATAGCTGATAGCAATTTATAGAAATGTACCTAGCAGATACGTTAAGTACTTACAACAACAGTACTTCCTATTGAACCTAATGTTATGACTATGACATAAAGACTAAAACTTCGAATAGTTGATTGCACGTGTCCGATAAAAAAACAAAATAGTCGCCATGTTTTCTAGAGTAATCATTGCATTTTTTTTTTTTTATGATATAATCATATAGGGCCTGCGACAAAGGTATATTTGATATTACCATAAAGTATTAATTAAATGTATGTATTTTTTCACTTGCCAGAAAAGATAATCCTAATGATGAATTTATTTGCGGGTATCTAATAACAAATGATTACTCCCCTACTATGCTGACGTAGGCAAATAATATTTATAGAATTAGAAAAGCCCTCAACACCACGCTCAGATGACCTGTTTTGACGACCGAAAATTTGTTTCCATATAAACGTTATTTAAGGGATTGAAATCAACAAAGACGTCATTCTCGAGTGTGCAGCCAATCCAAGAACACGATTAAAACGAATTTATGTTAAATTACGCGATGGAAGTAGAAGATATTGGGGTAAGCTCAAACAGTATTTTGTTACTAAATATAGCATGGTTTAACGGTATTGACCTGTCAAGCTGTTGCTATTTTTAGATATTTTACCGTTGCAGTTATCTGTGTCTGTATCAATATCAATACGTCGGATAAACCAATGCCGGCGAATGATCGACGGTGAGAGAGCGCGGTCATCAAATGGCCATTGCCTAGTTCTAGCCATTGCCTTGCTTATTTTCAAACGTTTTGTATAAATAATAAGATGATCAGTAATATCTGCCTAAAAAATAGACATCATATCAATGTAGTTTAAAAATTAAATCAAAAAAATATGTATCCATTTCTGTGTTTAAATATTAAGGTTTAGAAATAGTTAAAGTTACAATTTCATATTTTTTAAGTTATATTTTTAAAATGTATTAAAATAAAGCCCTAAAATAGATGGTATCTATAAAAAGTCCTACCTTGTTAAAGAATAGTCCTATTAATCCTATAATTCACTATGGCCAGTTGACAAATTGGCAAAATATCATGTTAATTTATTGTAAAAAAAAATGAATAATTCTGATATTTTCTTTGTATTTTACAGAATCGTACAATAGCTGAGACATTACCTGGAGATATAGTATTCGAAATATTTACATATTTGGACATTTGTTCATTAGTATCTGCTAGTAAAGTATGTAAAACTTGGCATCATATATACAACACAGAAACGTTATGGAAGATTAAAGCACGGACTGTAAATCCGGAAGAAAAAATATACATTTTAAACAGCCGGAAACAAGGCCAATCTTGGAAGGTATAAATAAATTTCAATGTAACTATATCCGTCGTCTATGGATACTTTTAATTCGTCTATAATTCAAATACAATTCAAGTTTAATTATATACCCGGTAAATAAAACGAGTTGTATATTCACAGGCACTTGAAGGGATTAAAATAAAACTACTTAGGTCCTACTAACTGCTTGACTATATACTACAATGACTGTATATAGTCATGCAGTAGTGAGAAGTTTTATTTTAATCCCTTCAGGTGTCTGTGACATATTTGCCTGCTTTGTCCCACATCGCCACGGTTGATTAAACACAGAGGGTCACATAACCAAATTAAGGGAATGAAATGGGTTTTAATGCGCTACTTTTCTTCACCGACCGGGCAAATTAAGAGGGGTATACTCCGTTATGCTAGGTTCCCACCATCACGAGAGAGGGGGGGGGCGAATGGTTAGCACGTGCGCGCTGTATCATAAGGTCTGTCATTGGGTCAACTGGCGGGGTTTCGATTCCCCTGTTGTACGTGGCAAGGAGTAGGGGTTTCCTCCCACTGCTAAAGACCCCTACGCGCAAGCGAATTATTGAAATAAAATTGAACCATGTGTTAGTCCCGAAATGACCTAGTTTGTGTCGAGTGGGCGTTAAATCCCACTTCTCTCTCTCTCTCCCATCATCACGATTTGCGCTACGATTGAAATCGTGGTTTTAAGCGTGGAGTAATCGTGATGATCCTGTCAGGTCTTATCACATACGTTGAGGTCAGTCGCAGCAATCGTGTTGATCATATCGAAACGTATCCGAACGTACCAAATCGTGGAGTTAATAACAGGGACAATCCCATCGTAACGCATCGCACGACAGTGGGAACCTGGCATTAGTGTAGTGAAATGGATTGATGCCACCGGGGATACCGACGATGGAATACGCCATGCAGAATGCTATGAGAGAAATTTGGCCGGACAACAAATTTTTGCAATCTGATTAAAATACAGATCTATATTTCGTTTCGTTTTTTATAGGGACTACTTTCGATGGTCGACATTACATGAAGACATTTTGAACTATAAAAACGAAACGAAATAGGATCTGTGTTTTAATCAGTTTGTTGAAATTTTTGGTACCACCGGAACGACTAGACGCTGTTCCTTGCCAGGCCCTTCGGCCTACACCATTAACAAGGGGAAACCACGATGAAAAATTTAGGGATACTTTCTCGGTCAACACAGAGAATGCTCTCGTTGAAATATATATGAATGTAAAAAACTTTTAGTTCTATGTATTCACATCTAAATTATTTTATTTTTTATTTTAGGATTCGTTTAGAAATAACTATGGAGACAACTTGGTGAGAAAGAAATGGAGAGAAGGACGACTGTCGACTATTTCTAAATTCGACGATATACCTGCTAGACACATGTGTAAAATGACATCTGTCGAATGGGGAGATATTTTTGAAAGAGAAGAAATGCGATGATCAAAATGACTGTATTAAAGTGTATTTTGAATAGGTGCTATTTGTAAATATTAATTTATTGTCCATTATGAATTTAAGAGAGATAAAGACTAGAAAAACCAATGTCAAATTGTGACCTTGGTAGATTAAAAGGAGGTCCACCTCCGAACCCACTCGGAACAACCTCAGCAGATTCCAGTAGAGTAACGGAATCTGCCGAGATTTGCCGAGTGCCTACGGGCCAAACCTGGTATGGAGGCTAAATCTATTTGTTAAGGCCAGCTCAATTTTTGTCAAGGTAGCTCACATAACTCACTATAATTTTATTATTTATTATTCCTTTGTTAGACTACTCACGCGAATGTCTTGGTATGGCCATGGTCATCAACAAATTACGGATCCGTGTCAGATGTAATATTAGCGTAAATATATGTTATTTTTTTATATTGTATATAGACGATTATAATTTTGTTACTATTTATAAATATCATAGCTTTTATTATTTATTATTCCTTTGTTGGACTACTCACGCGAGTGGCTTTGTATCGCCATGGTCATCAACAAATTACGGATCCGTGTCAGATGTAATATTAGCGTAAATATATGTTATTGTTTTATTATTGTATATAGACGATTATAATTTTGTTACTATTTATAAATATCATAGATTTTATTATTGATTATTCTCCGGTGGGATTACTCACGCGAGTGTCTTGGTATCGCCATGGTAATCAACAAATTACGGATCCGTGTCAGATGTAATATTAGCGTAAATATATGTTATTGTTTTATTATTGTATATAGACGATTATAATTTTGTTACTATTTATAAATATCATAACTTTTATTATTTATTATTCATCTGTTATTAATCTCCCAAGCAGAGTTATCTTCCCTTGCAGTTCACACTGAATAGGGAGAGACTTGTTTGGAGAATGATCTGTTTTATCATTTGCCATTTTTAACTTATCAATATGTAACTGCATGTTTCTAATAATTTATTTTGAATTGCCGAATATTGGTATTTTATTGAGATTTGCTTTTTCATAACAAAATATCTGTACGATTTTAATAATATATTTTTACGATTTTAACAATATATTCAATCTGATTATTTAAAACACTGATTCTGTTTCGTTTCTTATAGTCCATCATTTCGTTTTTCTTGTCTTTACAACACTAGCATCTGGAAGAGTTGTCATATAGCTAGATCTATTTGTTAAGGCCAACTCAATTTTCGTCATTAAGGTTGCTGAAATGTAGATAAGGTTAAGGCACGTGATTGTTGTCGAGATTGTAGGTTAGGAATAGGCTAAGCGTTAGGGCTAGGTCTTAAGTTAGGGTTAGGGTTGGGATTAGCTTTAGGCCTGCTTATATCTCGTGACCTTTAACCAAACCTAAAGTTGGCCTTATCAAATAGATCTAACCTTGTTATATAACCCACGTTCTGGTTGATGTGAGTGAGGGATTAGCCAATGAAACGCTCTGTTGCAGCGAGTTCTTGGTGTGCGATGCACGGAAATGTGGGCATCCTACTAGAAAGATCAACGCTGATTGGTTAATCAAATGTCTGACGTCATAGGTCAAAACCGCTCACATGACCCCTGACGCGACCTCCCACTACAACGGGTCAGATCTTCATGTAGTAGAGGTCATTGAAAGTATAAAAACACGAAACGAAATATAGATCTGTATTTTTAATCAGATTGCAATATAGTATACAATTTAAACAAAATACATTTTCATAGGTTTTCGCGAGGCTTATACGATCGTATATATACCCGTCTCTGTAACTAACTGCACCAGAGACCAAGGAAAGATGATCAAGTATACCTCAGATTTGTAGAAACCTATTGTGTATTATTTAACGTTTTTAAAATAAAGTTAATATCTGGCTTCAGATTTGTTGTTATAAAGAACCCGGTAGTTATCTTTCTACGACCAAAAAGCCCCCGAAATTTTGCCGATTTTCAATCCGTTTTGGTGTTAAAATTGTGTGTTTAACTTCTACCTGTAGCTATCAGTAGAAGCATGTCTTTCACCCGGAGCTTTGGAAGTGCCTAAATTTTATAGACCAGACCATGATATAAATATTTGGATTCTCATAATAGAATTTATCGGGGGCTTTGGTGGTTCGTTGAAAAAGGTGATGTCTCCCTAACCGGGGAGCGACGGTGTTTTATAGTGGGTAAAACGGTGGCTCGCTAGCCTGTAGGTTGCAGGATCGCTCCTGGTTTTGGCCAAGAAGGTTCATCTAACTGTCTAGTCGTTTGGATGTGACGAAAAACCGAGGTTCTGTGTACAAATTGGCGTGCACGTAGTTGGATGTCGATATAAGAGTAGGTCGTAGCGCATGGCTTATGCCCGGCTTCAGGACTGCTCGCTGTTCGATCCCGG